CAACTTAAGTAAAAACTACCGGTATAATTTTATTCCGTGCTATTAGAAGCTAAAGAAACTGTTATTCTGTAATATTATAGTGTTCATCTGGCTCGTTTGAAGAAAGCACTAGTAAAGTAAAGATTATTTTCTGCTTATCGAAATCGGGCGGCAATTTTGAGTCACAAAAGTGACAAACTTTTATACGCCTGAGATAGAAAGTTCCATTGCATCCTGTGTGCTTTGGTTTGGTTTGGTTTACGGCATATCAACCTCAATGGATTATTTAATGCCGAAAGGATTTTTATTGCTGGTAATAGTTTTTTTTTAAATATGTAGCTGGTATTTTTTTTTTAAATGTATAACTGGTAATTGTTGTTTTTTGGGTTTTTTTGTTCAAAATGTATTGCTGATATTTTTTTTTTCAAAAATGTATTGCGGGGTAATGTATTGCTGATAATAATTTTTTTACAAAGTATTTCTTGTATTAAAACCTATTTTTACACTTTCGTAGTGTTTTGGCCCCAGTTTGGGAGTTAACATTTTACACATAGCTCGGATCCTAAAAGGCGCTACCACCCCCGTCAGAGTGCAACTTGGAACACCAGCATTAAGAGTTGGTTCCACGCTCTCCTCAAAACCTCCTGATCAGACACCTTGCTGTTGGACGTAGTTTATCGTCTTACCCAGGACGCGGATGAAGTCTATAGTCTAACCCAGGACGCGGATGTAATTTATCGTCATATCCAGTACGTTTTATGTGTTCTTTAGAGTTCCAACTTCAGATTATTTCCTGCTTCGCACTATGGAACATTCTTTGCCTGGTTGTCGATTCCATCTGAAGATATGCGAAAGATCCTCGAAGTGTAGCATCGGTAAAACCCGGATTCATTCTTCAAGAGGTATAGAGAAGCGTTGAACAATCTTCTAATTGATAGTGTTCCCAGCTCTACCCTTACCCGGGGTGGGAGCACCTGTTAGGATCCCAGCTATGGGCAAATAGGTACCCCCAAATAGGGGTCAAAACGATGTGGAGGTGTAAAAATAGCGATTAATACCAGCAATACTTTTCTTGAGGGAAAAATTATTATCAGCAATACATTGTTGAGGAAATAAATATTACCAGCAATACATTTTTTAAGAAAGTTATTATATATATATTATATAGTTTTGAAGGAAAAATTATTATTGGAGATACAATTTTGAAGGAAAAATCATTACCAGCAATACATTTTTAGAGGGAAATTATTACAAACAAAATATTACCAGCAATACATTTTTGTAAAAATATTACCTGCAATAGAATTTTGGAAAAAATATTACCAGCAATACTTACTATGAAAGTGATAAAATAGGTTTCAATATTAGAAATACTTTGTAAAAAATTATTACCAGAAATAGATTTTTTGAAGGAAAAAATATTACGAGCAATACATTTTTGAAAGAAAATATTACTAGCAATAACAATTGATGGCATTAAATAACCCATTGACGTAAAACAAAACAGACCAAACCAAACCAAATGAAATCAAACCTAAAAATAGTGATTTCATGTCTAAAATATATTTTAAAAGAAAAAAATGAGAATATCAAATGCTAATACTTCAAAATATAACTATATATTAGTAAAAAATCATACATCAATGTCTTCTCTCTCTTTATTTTAGCTTTGTTTTTTTTTTTAATAAACCGCGTAACTAGACTTTATGAATTTAAGCGCAGTAATTGATTGACCACAATTTATTGTTGAATTAACTAGAGACATTCGGTGATCTTTCTGTTCTTTTTTTGATAATCTATACGGGTTACTTGCACTAACTTTGTGATATCCAAAAAGTTGACAACAACGTAGAAAAGCCGACTTGCAAATCAGTACACACTTCTCGGATTGTAATCCAACGATTACAAAAGAGCGCATTTCATTCCCTTGACTAACAGCTGACAGCTTGGAAACGTTCAGCAAGTATCGATCAATCGGTGCATTTTTTTTTCCACGCGGAGGAAATCTATACGACATCTATGCTTCGTACGAACTTTCATATCAGACATCATTTTGCCAAACTGCCGTTCAATGCTACATGTAAATGAGCAACAAAAATTATTGACGGGAAGATTCAGTCTCTACGAACGTACCACGACCATCCATCTATTATATCGTTGACCAGCATAGGAAGAACGCAAAAGAGATAAGTCTTCTATGGAAATCTCAAATGAAAGTGTAAAAAAAATGCTTGCATAATATGACGGGAAGACGATGAGAAAGTAGTACAAAAAAAAATCTCGAAGGAGCAGAATACAAAAGAGGAGGGGAGAAATAAAGAGGAGGAGAGATGATATGAAATGGAATGGTAATAAAACTCATGATGTAGACGAGGTTCCATCGCCACTTGAAGAATCTTATTAAAATTTCAAATCTGCACACGTCGACGTATTTCCGTTTGGGTGGCGACTGGTAGTTTCTCGATTCTTCCTTACAGCACCATTCCTCAACTTGATAGTCTGTTCCTTTTTTTTTCCTTTTTTCATTATTCTGCGCTGAAAAAACGTAAGCATCAAATTCTGAAAGGAAATATTACCGAATTGATAAGCATTTATATCACTAATTCACTTGTGTCTCAACCGACTGCTGTCTACTCCGCTCACATCGAAGCAAAAGGTGATAGTTTTAAAACGTTTCTGCATTCATTGGCATATATATATATATATATATATATATATAGATAGAGAGAGAGAGAGAGAGAGAGAGAGAGAGAGAGAGAGAGAGAGCGAGCTAGCGAGCGTGGCAGACAGACAGGCATGGTGGAGTAGTGGATAGCTGGTCGGATTGAGGAATCGGAGAACCGAGTTCGAATTCCAGTCGAATCCATTACATAGACTTACGTGCTAATACCCTTGTCAAAGGTATTAATCCTCTTCTTCTCCCTTCAGCTTATAGCAGGATAGACTGGGTTCTATAGCCTTTGATGGCAACTAGTCTAGGCCGGTCGTTTGGAGACCTTGTGGTACATAGTGTACCAGGTCTCTGTATTCGACTCTTCAAAACGTGTGGTTGGTGTTGCACAAAACCTTCACCACATCAAATCATATGTGCTGGTGTCTAGGCTGTCAGTTCCTAGGAACTGGTCCGCTTGACCCTCATACGTCGAATTCGACGGGAGAGTTCACTAGATAGATAGATAGATATGTCTGTGTATTTGTGTGTCTGTGTGTGTGTTGTGCCAAATAAAACATTATTCTATATTTTCCCCATTCCCAATTTTCGTAATTGTATTAAGGAGAATGTAGTAAAATGTAAATACTTACTTATTTTCTCTCTTTTTAACTTTACTTCCTTCTTTTACCGAAATGAACGAAAGGGAGAGCAAGAAATAGAAAGAGCAAGAGGGAGAGCGTGCAAAAGGGGGAGAGGGATAACAGTGAGAGGAAGCAAGATCCAGAGAACAAGAAAGAGAGAGTGCAAGAGAAAAAGAGGAAGAAAGAGAGAGAGAGAGAGAGAGAGTATAGTCAGAGATTGCAAAAATAAGAGAGTAAAAATAGAGAGAGAAAGAAATTGTGAGAGATCAAAAGTGAGAGTGGGCAAGAGAAGTAGAGCAAGAAAAAGATGGAGCACCAGAGAGAGAGCAAAAAAGACAGAGTGAAAGAGCGTAGGAGAGAGGGGGGAGAGAGAAATAAAGAGAACAAGAAATAGAGAATACAAGAGAGAGATAGAGAGCAAGATAGAGAGAGAGAGCAAGAAAGGGAGAGAGCAAAAGTCAGAGTGCAAGAGAGCGAGAGAGCAACGAATAGAGAGAGCAATAAATAGAGAGAGAGAGAGAGAGAGAGAGAGAGACCCAGAGTAAGAGACTGTATGAGAGAGACAAAGGGAGAGAGAGAACATGTGCGGGAGATATTAAGGTGAGGGAGAACAAGAGGGAGAGTGGGAGCACAAGAAAGAGAGTGTAAGAAAGCGAGATCAATAGAGAGTAAAATCAAGCAAGAGGGAGCCAGCGAGAGAGAAAGCAAGAGAGAGAGAGAGAACAAGAGTGAGCAAGAGAGTGAGCAAAACAGAGAGAGAGAGAGAGAGTAAGAAAAAGAGAGATAAAAACGTCTAGTATGACATAAAGAAACAACCTTTTTAGTATCTGATCTAGCAATGGTTTCAATATTGTCGTTCCACTTCATGTCAGCCGAGAATGTTAGGACCAGAAGTCGGAACGAATCACTCTCCTGGGAGGTTAGGAGAAAGATCTCTCTCAGATGATTAATAGAGAGCAATTTAATTTTGTAGGCCTTAAAAATTAACTAGACATCTTTTGGATCAGCTAACAACAGATTGTGGGTCGTTTTTTCACATCAGTCGCCAACTTGAGTACAGATCAGACTTATCTTCGAGGCAGGTGTTGTGTCATCAGCATAAATACTAAGTTGATAGCTGATGCCATCAGGAAGGTCGTTAATGAAAATTAAAAACAGAGTAGGACCAAGGACGGGGCCCTTGGGAACACCTGCATTAGTACAAAAAGGATCTAGAAGAGTGGCCATTCAATATAACTTTCATTTCGCTATTTCATAAGAACGACTAAATCAGGTTCAAAAATTCGTCCAGAGGTTATGGCCGATCTTCGAGCATCGACAAAAACAATATTTGGAATGCTTATTTCCGAGGCATGAAGGTCCTCAACACATGGTTGGTTTGTGCAGCACAGTTTCTGTGTATCTCTTTCCCATTTTTTTGACTTTGTGCCGTTTGAAGCGAGTTTTAGTGACTGAAATAGTTGACTTCAGTTATTACCTTCATCTTACCTCAGTTTAGTCTCTTGCAATATCTTACTAGACAAAAATTGTATGCGCATGCCCGTATCAAGTAATATATTTCAATTCATTGAATGTTGTTTATTCAAGGAGAGCATGCACAAATCAATGAATGTAATATGAAAACTCAGAAAAGTCTAGCACAAGGCCACTGAATAGAGATCGATTTGACTACGTGTGAGGACTAATCAGTGAACGGCACTGTTAACCATGGAGCTAAGTAGTATTCGTCAGACATGAAAGAAAGAGAGAGAGAGAGAGCGGAGGGAAACAGAAGCAAAAGTAACGAGAAATAGAGCAAAAGAAAACGAAGGAGAGAAAAAGATAGGAATTAACGAGAATGGGGGGAAATAGCAAAAGAAATGAAAAGGGAAGGAAATAGAGCTAAAGAAATGAGAGAGAAAAAGGAGAAATGGAGTGAAAGAAACGAGAGAGGGCGGAATAAACGAAGAGGGGCAAAATAGAGTGAAAGAAACGAAAGGAGGGAGAAATAAAACGAAAGAAACGAGAGAGAAGAAGCAAGACAGAAGAAAAAAAAAGAACAAAAGAAACCGGAATGTGAGAAAAAAAATGGCGAAACAAACGATAAAGGGAAGAAAAGAGAGAGGATAGAAACAGTGAAAAAAAAAAATGGGCAGAGGAGAAAATATATTGAAAGAAGGCATTGATGGGATAAATATAGCGAAATAAATGAGAGATGGAGGATAAAGGGTGCGAGGAAATGACAGTGGGGAGAAAAAGCGAGGGAAACGAGAGAGGATGATAGAAAGGAAAAAATGAAGAGAAAACAGAAAAAGATATATGGATATAAGAGAGAGGAAAAAAGAGAAAAGTTCAAAGATAGCGAGTGAAAAAGGGGGAAATAAAAAGTGTATAAATGAAAAGAGATAGGTAGAAGCAAAGAGAGAGAGAGAGAGAGAGAGAGAGAGATGAAAAGGGAGAGAGTGTAAAAGAAGACAAGTGGGGTGAACAACAGAAGAATATCAATCAGAGTTTGGTAAGAAAAACCACAAATAAAACGTATTCTCATAAAATATGATAAAATGATCAAATTATAAATACATCAACGGAAAAACCAAATAGAAGTAAAAAAAAATAAAAACAAAAGGAACCCCAAAAAAGGGAAGAAATCGATTCTTTATTTTAGTTAAATATCTTCGGTGACAAAAATCTAAGATTTGGCGGGAAACTTGTTTTTTTTCTGTTTAATATTTTTGAAAATAGGTTTAATGGAGAAAATGGAATTTGATTTTTATCAAAGAGTCTAATGTCCATTTCAATTCTTTTCTTTTTTGGTGGGTGGGTGTCTTATCATATACTTACAAAGTGATTTGAATCTAAGGGCCTCTAATTAAAAACTGCAAATACATATAAAGGAATACACTTACATGCACAACACACACACACAAATACACACACACACACACACACACACACATATATAAAATTTGAGATATCTGTGTTTATTTGTTAAGTACTATATCGCAATTTGTCTTGCTTTTTAATGTTTTTGTTTACATAAGGTTTTTATCTATTTAAAAAATCGTTAATTATTTAGTGCTTCTAATGTAATAATAAAGCATATAATGTTTATACACGTATTTACATATGTTCCAAAATTTGATATAGCCCGTGACATGCGTCTCAAATAACTCAGCCCAGCTACAAGCCAGAGAAAGGGCGAGACGAGAAGCTGGCCCCTCGTAACCAGCTGTGGATGGAGCTTGGGGTCCCAGGAAGGCAGACTATCGATGGGAAGGAAAACCTTGACTTCAACCTCCACTGTATCAAAATAATACTGTTTATTATAAACGGACCATTTACTTAAATAACTGTATCTATAAAAACGTATGAACAGAAATATATTTCAAAATAATTGTCGCGCTTAGTCCAATTCATAATTCATATATATATATATATATATATATATATATATATATAAAAGGTAAAATAAAGCCGTGGTTATATAAAACGAGTGAATCCTGGTAATATAAAATAGTAAAACTGATCTACAAAAGAGAGCTCGATGTATTTTGTTTATACAGAGCAATACACACACATATATATATATATATATATATATATATATATATATATATATATATATATACATACATATATATATATATATATATATATATACACACACATATATATATTCGATCATTCGAACAAACAAACTTGTTTGTTCGAATGTAATAATTTAAAATATATATATATATATATATATATAGAATAGTTTATCTTACCAGAGTATCATCAATCAGCGAAACCACTTCATGTCACTTTTGTGGAAAGCTTTGCAAATCAGCTGGTGAGCTGTAAAAACTGTCCCCAAAATAAACCTAAATGCCACAAAATATACGATTCTCATGTATGTCAACAATGTGTCATAGGTTTTAAAATTTTGCCCGTTTTAAAAAGCCACAACCGTTCATATCACAACTAAGACTTGCAATGATATCTTTAGATGGTCTTACTCGACAAGCCATTATATATAATAAGCCATTATATATAATAAGACGAATATATACACTCGACATAATGACAAAATAGAATCTTTAATAGGGAGACAGTTAAAGACGATTGAAATTATACAAAGCCTATGTAATCTGATATTTAATGCATCCTTAAATATAAATCGATTTAGCGAATTACATTCCTAGATTTCTGCGGCAAAACCTGATTTCGCTTGATCTGTTGCAAATATCCAGACACCATGAAATTAAATATTGCTTACAAACTCAACTTGAATTATTAGTACGTGTATAACTTACATATAAGTAAATACCTTATGATTATACAGTAGAGTAGTGAGGAGTCGGAGAGCAGAGTTCGAATTCCAGTCGAATCCATTACATTCACTTACATGCTGATAACCTGGGGAAAGGTATGAATCTATCTCTTCTCCCCCAGCTATGGGTTGAATAGCAGGACAAACTGGCTTCTTTGGTCATAGTTGGTAACCAGTCTACCGCAGAAAGAAATGCCAACCTATTGCAGAAATATATGCCACGTCAGTCATGTATCGAAAGATATATGATCGCCCAAGCATGTATCCCTTATGGCACTTAACTGACTGATATAAATACACACACACACACACACACACACACACACACACACACACACACACATATATATATATATATATATATATATATATATATTAGGTTATTATGCTTGTATTTCAAATGCTCCTACTACATGTCTATCCAGACAACTTACGTTACACCTATCCGACCACAGCTACAATACAGTTTACTAAAAGATACGCACAAAACTTACCAGACTCTATCCGAAACATATTAGTAGAAAATACTGGTGTAATAATCTCAAAAAAGATTAAAAATAATGGAAGACTTAACAATAAAAAGGAGAAAGGAGACACTCAATAATATTAACTACAAACACGGCCACAATATAACTCAAGGTGCATACACACAACCCATATATCCTGTTAAAACGTAAAAATAAAATCACCCTTAATAATGTCTAAAAGTTTAGCCGAAAGCATTTGGACAGTTTCTAGACACCCTGTATCCAAAAAAGAAAGCTCTTTTTCGAACACAAGAAAAATTAAATAAAAAGCTTAAACGTAGTACCTTGTCTGTCGTCTTTAATGAAACATGTATAAAAGAGCGTTTGCTGCCTAAATACACAATTATATATATGATGTGGGGCCAAAGTTGGGACCACAGAAGGAAAACACGGAACACGGATTAGATGTAAGAAAGATATATTAACAACAGGTTACAGAGATAGTGTAAGCGGAGCTTACTATATGTTAGTGTCCAATACCGGTAGTCGAACGCGACTCTCACTGTCTCTCTATCTCTCAGACACTCAGACTTGAGTGTTGTGTCGCATACTTAATATAGGCCTGGAAGAGTCTATTGTGTAGGTAGTTTCCGGTCTCACAATACCCCCCTTCCAAAGAGTTTTCTTTTTTGAAAAGGAAAGAAAAAAAATAAAACTTAATACTTTTTCCTCTTGGGATTTACGTCGAGCAGTTTAGTAAATTTCCTTTTCCTTCCTGAGCGTCGCACTTCAGGAGAGACTTGGGGCATGTCGAGATCGAACTAGAGATCTTGATGCATGAGTCACAACTTTTCGCGAACCATCTGGCAGTTTATTTAATATGCAAGCGCCTATGCCGTACGAGCTTGCATCACTTGCGACTATGATGTCGAGACTAGGGTCGAAATGTGTGAGGAAGAGGTCTGAAGTAAGAGTTTTCTTGATCTTCTCGAATGCGTCTTGGCATTCCGGGGTCCATGACCATGGTTTGTCCTTTTTTAAAAGTTGGTTGAGAGGCCCTCTCAAATTTTGCATGTTTTTAATGAACCCTTGGTAAAAATTAGCTAGCCCGAGGAAGCTTTGTAACGCTTGAACGTTATCTGGGGCCGGCATGTTTCTGATCGCGTTGGCTCTTTCTGGATCCGGCCGACGAACGTCTTTATTTATGACGTGCCCTAAGTATTTAATCTCTGGTAAGAAAAAGTCACACTTTGCTTCCTTAACCTTAAATCCGTATTCTTTTATCTTTTCGAATACGTTTTTTATATGGTTCCGGTGCTCTGCCGTAGTTTTACTTGTAACCAGTATATCATCCAAATAGGCTGTTGCGTAGTCAAGGTCGCCCAGCATGGCGTCCATGACCTGCTGGAAAATTGCAGACGCAACCTTTACTTCAAAAGCCAGTCTATTGTATTTGTACATCCCTCTATGGGTGTTTATGCAGAGCAATTTGGAACTTTCTTCTTCCACCTCTATCTGAAGGTATGCGTCCGAGAGGTCAATTTTAGAAAAAAATTTTCCACCATTGAGTTTATTGAAAATTTCTTCAGGGCTTGGGAGAGGATAGTGGTGATCTTGCAAGGCATCGTTTAACCCTGTGGAAAAATCTGCGCATACTCGTATTTGATTGGACTTTTTTTTACGTAGACCGTAGGTGCTGCCCACTCGCTGAAATCTGTTTTGACAGAATACCTGCTTGTTCGAGTCTATCTAACTCTTTGTTAATTTGCTCTAGAGCAGCGAAAGGGACATTCCGTTTCTTTTTGAATACCGGTTGTGCACTGTCCTTCACCTTGAACTTAGCTTTCATTTTAGTACATTTCCCAAGGCCGCCAGAAAAAACCTGGGGAAATTGTTGTTTGAGTTCCTTTTTAGATTTACCAAATTGGACGTTGTACTTTGTATCTTGCGACAAAATGTACTCATTGGGCAATCCCAAAGATTGAATTTTTCTATCAATCTGTTCCAAATAAGTTATCTGAAGTTTTCAATACGTAGGCTTTGAGCTTTTTGGTAACTCCATTTAGTGTTACTGTATTACCTCGCCTAAAATGTTAATCTTTTTTCGCCAGTTACGGATTTTGCTGTTTTATCCGTTTTTAATAAAGGTCGGCTTGTTCAATTTTCGCCAAGTACGCCGGTTAATGGTTGAAAGATCGGAACCCGAGTCAAGCTGGAATTTAATGGACTTATTGAAAATATCTACAGTTACATATTTTCTTAAATTCCTATCGACAATATTTTCAGATTGAGCTTGCCTAATTTTATTTTGGGGTTTTCTCGTTCTGTTGGCGTACCAGCACAAAGTTAAAGTATGCCCACTTTTATTGCAATTTTTGCAATATTTTTTGTTCTTAACTGGACAGAATTTCATCCAATGCCATTTACCACAATGGTAACATGGTCCGGGCGGTTTCTTTAACTTATTTGGGTTTTGGTTACTGCGGAATTTAGGACATGAGATTTGTCTTTTTGAGGGGAATAGGAGATAGACTTACTTCTGATTTTATTAATCAGAGTCACACCTGATTCATCGATAGTGTTTGAGTTACGCTTTACAGATATTACTCTTTGACAGTCCTCTGCCAGTTTTTGGAGAGTAAATCCTTGTTCGTTGTCAAGCTTGGTCAGTACCCGTCGTCTGACTTCGGTGTCTTCTGCTGATACTAGACCTTGTGCGAAAATTAAGCACTTAAAATCATCGGCAGTCAGTTCGGCTAGTTTAAAAGCATTACATAGCTTGTTTACCGATGCTGCAAACGTTAGAAAATCTTGCTGGTTGTCTTTGACTGTGTTCAGACATTTCCAACGTTTGTGGAACAAGGTTGTGTTAGGCCCGAATAGTTCCGATAGGAGCTTAATAGTCTCTGAAAAATCCAAGTCAGTGGTGTTCTTGGGTAATATGAAATCTACGAACCTACTATGTTTCTCAATAGAAGACGTACCCTTTTTTTACTGGACCATTTTTCACAGTCTACGTTGAAAATATCTTCGTAGCGCCTGCAAAAATCGTCGAACGTTTTGTCGTTCTCTGGAACGTATTCAAAGGTTTCCATTGAATTGTAGATTGTACTCTGGGAGAATATTGTATATTTTTCAGAGTTTGAGCCTTTTAATGCATTTACGAGTAATTCTTTAAGTTATTTCTGTTGTAGTTCAGCATTCTGAAGCGTAATTCGTTGGAATTCCATTTGTTGTTTATGTAATTCCAAAAATAGTTGTTGTTGTCTTTCTTCTGATTTTTGTTGCTGATCCAAATTTAGTTTTAACATTTGGTCAACTGCTTTTTGAAAATCTTCCATATTTAAAAATGACAGCGCTTTTTTTGTTGCTTTGAAACACGTGTACTAAGAGGAGGTACACAAAAAAATCTTGATAGATTTTTGTTCCTTTTTTTTCTTTTACAGAAAAAATATGGACAGACAATAGTTAAACTAAAATAATTATGTGTTTAGCTTTTTTTCCCGTGGTTCCGTTAATTTTAACGTAATTGAATAAATTTTCACCACACTTATGTATTTTTTTTTTTTATAGAGGTACAAAAAGAGAAAACTCACCTCAGGGAATTTGAGGGGAGAATAATTTTATGCACGATTTCAACTCAGTTACATAAAAAAAGATTTTAGATAGTTTTTCTTTTCGAAAACTTGAGTCGTATGGTAGTAATTCCGCTCTTGTATTGTCAGTTTGTTTTATAACAAACTGTTTTTTTCTGTGTGTGAGTGTGTAAGAAATCGTTCTCGTAATGTTATTTGGACAGACTTTAATATTCCGTAGATGTCGAATCGCTAGTTCGTCACTGATGTTTGGTATTGGAATATATGTAGACGCTGGGTGTTTAGCTTTTAAATCGCTAATGTAGTAATACCAGCTTAATTTCTCGTTCAACACTACTGTGGGAACGTGTGGTTTTTGTGTATTTTTCGAGTACTGTCGCTATTGATATGGTGAGAACGAAATTCTTGAATATTTCTGTCGCCACTGTTGTGGGACTGACAAAGTATTGCGGTTTTTCGACGTGAATGCGTTTCTCGAATTCTTCGTCGACACAGATGTGGAACGGGTGAGGTGTTGAGGTTTCGTCGTGAGTGCGTTTCTAGAATCCTCGTCGCCACTGATGTGGGGCCAAAGTTGGGACCACAGAAGGAAAACACGGAATACGGATTAGATGTAAGAAAGATATATTAACAACAGGTTACAGAGATAGTGTAAGCGGAGCTTACTATATGTTAGTGTTCAATACTGGTAGTCGTACGCGGCTCTCACTGTCTCTCTATCTCTCAGTGTTTCAGTGTAGAGTGTTGTGTCGCATACTTAATATAGACCTGGAAGAGTCTATTGCGTAGGTAGTTTCCCGTCTCACAATAATATATATATACAGAGTGGAACAAAAAGGTTGTCTCTATTTCAAAGGTTGATAAAAAAAACAAACAGATGAAGATAAAAGAAAAAAATCGTATCTCACTGAATTATATTAAATACCATTTATTTTCTGTTTCAGGTAATATCCTACCATAGCCTGGAGTGGAGAACATCATGCATTTATTGTGGAAGATTTTCTTAAGAACGTTGAGTCCGTCATAATTATGCAGCTTTCCTTCCGAATGCACTCCCCACCCATCGTCATGATACCGTACCGGATGAAAAAACAATTCGTCGGTGGGTTTCTAACTTTAGACAAACATCATCGGCTTTAAACAAGAAAAGTCCTGGCCGTCCTAGGACCGCTACAAGAACAGAAAATGTAGCAACCGTGGCAGCTTCAATACAGCAATCTCCCAGACGTTCCGCACGAAAACACGCATCTGCCTTACACATGTCCGTTCAAAGTGTTCGCAGAATCTTACACAGGTCTCTCCACATGCATCCCTAATTGTTGTATAGAAGCTAAGCGAAAGGGATTATGAAACCCGCACAATTTTGTGTCAGGACATTCTCCAGAACATCCTCCTAACAGCTGTTCTGGTCTGCAGTGATGACGATATTCAGTCACCCCCCACGAGGGTGTCATATGTCACAAGGCCTTTTTAACGTGGGCATTCCGAGCCCGTGGGCTCGGCCAAAAATATGCCCATTGAACCCGTATAAACTGGTTCAGGGCCGGTTTTACCTCCCCGAAGGAGACTCCGCCCTTCGGCGTAGCCTCCTTCGGGTTCCTCCCGTCCGTAGGAAGAGAGTTCAACCGAACAGTCGCTCAGAAAGTACTGGGCCGACTGGTCTGCAGTGATGACGCGCACTTTCATTTATCGGAGGTGGTTAATAAACAGAATTTTTTATGCTGGTCAGCCAATATCCCCCATAAACTCCACAAATGATCACTGCACAATGCGAATGTTACTATCTTTTGTCCAGTGGTTGATTTTGGCGTGTGGGGTTCTTATTTTTTTCGAAGAGGCTGGTGTTTACAGTAACTGTTACATGAAACCGTTATTGTGAACACCTCGAAAGGTTTCTCCATTCTAAAGTCAACCCAGTTATTCGTCGCTCATAATCCGGATGATGTATGGTTCCAACAAGATGGTGCCACATCGCATAAATCTCAACGTTCACTCGAAATCCTCCTTGACATGTTCCTGGATCATTTTGCTGCGAGGCGATAGTGGGTGGGCCCGACGTTCTCTAAATTTAGCCCCTTGTGATTCTTTTCTATAGGGGCACCTCAAAACACGGGTGTATCAAGACAAATTAGCAACTGTTGAAAACGTAAAGGCAGCAATAACTCAGGAAATTAATTCCATTCAACAGGATATGATTCAAAGGGCTATGGTGAACGTTCAAGACAGACTGCAAAACTGCATCGATATTAGCAGTCGTCGCTTAAGTGATACAATTTTCAAAACCACATGAACCGCAATGGCATGTAATTTACTTACAAATACAAAGCTTTTTCTCTTATGACCATGTGTTTGTTTTTTATTAACCATTGAAATCGAGCCAAATTTTCTGCCCCACTCTGTATCTATATTCGTCTATAGATAGATAGATAGACCGAGAGAAATAAAGTGAGCCAAAACGATGGATAAAATGTTTGACAGATAGAGGATAGAGATTAAGGAAATTGAGAGAGGTGTTGGCCCACCGAATTAGCTGTAGACGAAAACATATATGATAATAGAAAAATTGATGGATGATATTAATAAAGGGAGAGAGGGAATAGATTACTGAATTATTTGAATACGGAAATAGATAGATAGATAGATAGATAGATAGATAGATAGATAGATAGATAGATAGATAGATAGATAGATAAATTGAACCAAGAGAAAGAGAAAGCAACAAAGGATGATAGAAAGAAAAATCAATGATAAAAATTAAGGAAGAGAGAGAATGGCCTACAGATAAATAAAGATAGATAGATAGACAATGAAGAAGCGAAGATAGATAGATAGATAGATAGATAGATAGATAGATAGATAGATAGATAAAAACTACAAAGTTTTTTCTCTTATGATTATGTGTTTGTTTATTACTAGCCCGTGAAATCGGGTCAACCTTTCTGTCCCCATATATATATATATATATATATATATATATATATATATATATATATGTATGTGTGTGTGATAAGATAAAGAAAAATAGTTAACGTTTATCAATCTAACATGTTCCACGTGTATTAAAGCTACATCCGAAAATGATTTTAACTAGTTAATCATGTTTCATATGCATTCGACTTGTTAAACAAACGTTAGTATTATTTATCAAGTCAAATGCCCGTGACAGATAAATGGTCAAGGGAACGCAGCGGGCAACTACTTGATGAGCTTGTATGAATTGAAGGCTGGTGCTAAAGGCTACAAGTGATAGAATGTTATAGAGTCATATTCAGCTACGTCCTGAAGGGACACGGCATATCGAAGAAAAAGAATGATGGAATTATTTGCTTTCATAAAGAAAATCTTCTGCATTTATTGAATAATGATGTTGAAATCTTAAAATATTTTTTTACTTAAAACTTTTTTGACATAATTTTGTGACTTGATTTTTTTACTTATTTTTTTTTTAAATTTTCAGAAAATTAGAGTGAACTGTTATTGATTTTTTTAGACTTAATAGGAGTTTCCTTCCAAACCTTTTGTTTAAGGTGCTGTAGAAACTCATCATTTTTATTATCATTATTTCCCCTTCTGCATCCTGGGTATGACGATAAACTACACCCGGCAGCAGTGCCTCTGATCTGGAAATTTTGAGGAGAGCGGAATCACCTCTTAATTGCTATTGTTTCTAAGTCTAATTTGACCTGAGGTGATATCGCCTTTTAGGGACCCAGCTGTGGGCAACTAGTTAACCCCCAAATTGGGATCAAAACACTATGAAAATATAAAAATATTTTTTTATAGTAAAAGTACTAGCAACACATTTTTATTTTAAAAAAATATGCAAAATACATTTCTGTAAGGAAACAAATTACCAGGAATTTACTTTTTGTAAAGGAAATGCTCCCAAGAAAGATAAATTTCGGCATTAAATGATCCATAAAGCGTTGATATGCAGCTAAACAAAAAAAAAAAAAACAATTAACCCTTCTAATTATACGCGCGACCAATTTTTGTTCTTGTTGGAAATGTTCAAGTGATGTGCTTTCTGTTATTTAGCAAAAGTTATTTCTTTGAAATTTTGCAATGTCACTTTATACAGTCTGATGAATCATTATCGTCTAAAGAAGTCATTCATTATAGATCAGAGAAAATGGTTGTAACCGTGTTCCAATAACTTGTACCGATTTTAAATGTGAATTAAGTTTAAGCATCTAATGATTTTCTTTTTCTTTTTCTTTCAGATTTGGCGGACATTTTGGCGATATTATTTTTTACACATAATTGCCATGACTTAAATAACATGATCCAATAGAGAAATAAATAAATTTACACCAATAACATTGATTTATTTACTGCTGACTTTGATCCGACTTAACGAAACACACTTATATATAATCCGTCTTAATGAAACACCATTTATATAGGTGACAGTTTAGACACTTCTGAGCGAGTTGGGCAGCATTAATATGAATGACTAGATTATTTAAACATATAACACTTGTTTTCAGGATAATATTTTGCATCTTACAAACAAATGTAACCTCGGCGTAAACTATCCTGCAATTAATTTCCGTATCTCTTACACGAAATTTGTTGGAATTGTTACACCGAAGTATTTGAAATGTCTTTTTTTTGTTTTTTGTTTTTTTTAAATCAGTTACCCTTTCGGGTCGTAGGCTCATCACATGTTCTCCACAATGGATTTGAGTTCAAAGTTTTTCCTTCTGTTCTACTGTTTATCATTTACCCATAACTGATTTTTGGTGGAGGGGAGAGATTCATACCTTTTCCAAGAGTATTAGCACGTAATTGAATATAATGAACTCGAATGGAATTGAAACTCTGCTCTCCGATTCCTCAAATCCGAGCCGCTATCCATTACTACACTTTATTTCCGTTTAGAATTTATTCATTTTAAATTCTGAATTTTAAATGGTGGGTACCGAATATACTTCATCATTGCACTCATCCAAATTCTAAAATCATAACTTCTGTTTAGAAAAATGTTTCCGGCTGCCAACTAATTCTAAATAGTGGAAATGGAGTGGAAGAGAGAAGTATATTCACAGGCGCGTTAGTATGACGTAAAAGCAAACAGACTTAATCGGCGTTTGAACTCGGCGCGTTGGTTGCTTGGTTGGCTTATTTAATACTGAAATCTAAATATTTTGAATATAATTTTTATTGGTTCAACTACAGATGAAATACATTGTTGGTCATTCTGCTATAAAACCTATTGCTAGACATTTTGCTTTAAAATGTTTTTATTGGTGATCTATACATATATAAAGGGTTGTTCTCTCTCTCTCTCTCTCTCTCTCTCTCTGTGTGTGTGTGTGTGTGTGTCCGGCTAAAACGAAAAAAACTACAATATTTAACAACAAAATAAATATATATGAAGAAACTCAGTATCACCCGACCCACCTTTTCGTAAAAAAAAAAAAAAAAAAAAATTATAATCATCTGATTTGTTTTTACGAAGATATCTTAAAATTAAAAATGCATAATAATTATATTAGAATGCATTCGAAATTCTCAGAATTAAAAAGTAAAAACGAACGGGAATAATTCTTATTCCTATTTGTTTTTACTTTTTAATTCTGCTGATACATTCGAAACGCTATATGTATTTTTAAAAGTTCTATTCTCTTGAATTTAATTTCACATCTATAGTAAATAAAAGCGTAACTTTGAAAAAATGAATATTAAAACAACAAAGTAAATTTAAAATAAGAATATTAAATATTCGAAACAAAAATTGTATAAACATAGCAAAATAAATTCCCGTAACTTTAATAGAACCAAATATTCCATGAACATATAAGTCATCCTTTTCAATATTTTTAATCGGGAATTTTTAATTACTTATTTCTAATAACAGGTTTAATTTATACACATTTTGTTTTTATGCTTATGTTGTATGGATATTAATTATCTATCTATCTATACATACATAAATGGCAGTTGTCTGTATATGTGTGTATTATTGACTTATAAATATTTTTCGGCCATCTTATAGAACTTATTTTTTTATTCAATCTTTAAAAAATAAACTTCATTGATTTTTGTGTTGTAACTAACATAAAAAAGTAAATAATTTTCAATTAAGTTTTATTAAATCAAGCCTTATTTTTTTAAAAAATTGATTGAAATAAAATATAGTTAAAATCGTAAAACAAATATTCAACAGGATTAATGTTGACCGTAACTCATGGTTGTCTCTCCTAATTTTGATTTAACTAAAGTTTTTTTTTTCTTTTCAAATACTAATATAACTTGAAATTTAAACATAATCGATTTTCAAAACTAAATTCTCATTGTATCTTGCTTGCTACTACTTTCTTGTAAAATCGTAATTAAATTCATTTATGAAGAAAAGTTTGCTTCTTTCACTTTCTTTAAAAAGAAAATAACCACTAGCATAATGTTTAAAAGTAAAACTTTATTTACTCTAAAAATATAAATTCCCCTCCAAAATAAATAGTAAATAATTATTTTTCCAAAATACAGTTTTTTGCTTGAAAAATGATTAAATTAAATATATTTAAATATTAATAATATATCTTTATTTACATTTTTATTAATAATAATTTTAAAAATGATTTATGAACTTAGATAAATCGATTTGGTTTGTTTGAAAACAATATTAACAGAGTATTTATGCTAGTATTTAAATCGAAAAAAGTGTCTTTTTTAATAAAAACTATGGGAATGCTTGGTCCCCTAAGCCCCCTACCCCATCTCGCGTGTGGTATTGGTAGTGTAGTATTTTCTTTGTAACAAACCAAGAAAAAAAAACTATATTGTTTATTTTTTAAAGATTGAATAAAAATTTATTTTCTATAAAATGGCTGAAGAAAATCAATAGATTTTCAATAATAAACTATTATTCAGGAATCTTCCGAGCAACGCCGGATATTCCCGCTAGTTTCGCTATAAATGTATATTGTTGATAATTTTGTTATATATAAAAATGCATTGCTGGCATCTTCATGTATTTTATACTTTCATAATATTTTGCTTTTGTTTGGGGGGGCACTATTTGTCCATAGCTGAGACCCTAACAGGTGCTACCACCCCGTGTCAGGAGGGAGCTGAGAACAACAGCAACTTAGAGGTGGTTCCTCACTCCTCAAAACCTTCAATGTCCCGATCAGACGCCTTGTTGCCTGCCGGATGTAGTTTATCGTCATACCCTGGACTATACACGGTTATATTCGATTCTGGTATTGACCTAGTTTTCGGTCACAATTTCATTAACCCAGTCCTTCTTCAATTCCATAAAATACTGAATCCTATGTATGTCTACAATTATTTATTAAACTTAGCGTAGAGTGGTACAATGTCGCCTTGTATAGATCATATTTCTTACTGGAGTTAATATTCTACAATACGAATACTTTGAACGTCTCTTGAGTCTCGGGTTTGCTATAAACATCAAGTGAAACTCATATATACAACCCCATTTTAAAGATGTTGAAGAAATATTCAGCTACTTATATTGTTTCAGAATGTGCCCTGAGTGCTTCTGTCTTTTACAAATTAGACCAACAATTGGGTATTGTTACTCTACCTGGGTTGGCGCTATGCAATCGTCACTTTCCAACCGTCATAGAGTTCAAAGTTATTTACGAGGTTTTGTCGTGGATTACTTATGTTCCAATTTGCAACATTTTATTAAAATTAATGTTAAAATCAATTTATTTTAATATTGGCGATTTAATTTCTTTCTTTAAATAAACCCTTTTTTTCATTTTATAAAAAACAGTAAGAAAGACTATATGTTGTAACCTAGAAAGGTTTACTGAATTAGGAATAAGAAAAACAGAGGTTGGAAATGAAAAAATGGTAATCTTTATCACATCAACAAAATACAATACTCGCCAGCTGCGTGAAGTAGGTAAACCACTGCTAATGGTGGACTACTTAAGCGGCATATTACCCCCCCCCCCCACTTACAATAGTGTCCAACGTATTTATGAGAATTGGACATACCCATTAGTGTTTATAGGTACGTTATATAACAATATATAATATTCGAATTAAGAACTAAATGATACAGCCATATTTTAAATAGATGGTATGTTTGAATACCGCGGAAATGCTTCACAATACATAATGGCGGGCTAAGAAATATTTATTAAGATTATCACTTCCGGCTTCTTGCTTCCTTTCTCCCGGCTTCTTTCATTCCAATCATGTTTGGCCTTCAAAAATTTAAATGTAATGTCAATCGTCATTTTCTCTTTCCTTAACCATTTTTTTTATTGTCCTCCTGCTGCAATAATAATTTCTTTTTCTCTTATTCTCTCTGTTGTAACCTAGGGAAGGTTACTGAATAATCAAACGAAGGTTGGTAATGAACGATAATACTTAGGACAAGAACAACACATATAAGTTTCGCCAGCAGCGTGCAGAAAGAAGCAAAGAAGTAAGCAAAGTGAATTTCACAATGAATCTCCAACTGCAGTCCGCAGACGGTATCTACCAACTGTCCCACGCAGTTAGATGTGGCACAAGGCCGACATAAATGTGGGGTTCCTGAGTCCGTAGGTTCAACCAAAAATTCCCCGTAGTGTAAAACGAGATCGGGTGGGTATTTCCCGAGATGAGCGTCGGTCCTTCGGCATAGTCTCGTCTGTAGATGCTCTCTACCCGAAGGCAGAGAGCTTAACAAGCCCAGCTGAAGACGAATTTCCAAATGCGGGCTGGCAGACCAACACATACAGTATTCACTACTGTATTTATGGGAATGGGGACATACCCATTATCATCCATAGGTATGCTACACCACTCTCACACTCAGTAACTAATTGCCTCTTAGTGGCTTTATTGCCTTAATTAGAGTGAAATGATTTTAAAAAAACGTACCGGACTCCTTGTGTCAGCATCAGATTAGACGAACAATAGTTGCTGTATCTGAGTTGGAGCTATCCAGTTTACTTTCCAGCCTTGATAGATTTCAAGATCATTTACACAGTCTTACGGGGTGATTTATTTCCCACTCTACAATTTTTCCCCACAGGCACAATGCCGCAAGCCTGTTGCTAATCTATCAGTATTTCCAAGATAAATATTTAGAAGAGATTTGTTCTTTAGTTTCACTAGTTCAGACATTTACTGCTAGTGTAGGCCAATTCCGCTCCATGAAATCGAATCAACCTTATTTCCCTCGTGTTCCCAATGTAAAAAGGTAATGGTGAGCGTTTTCCCAAGAACCGACATTATGTGAAACAGACTTTCACTTGATTCTTTCCAAAAACTCTCTAATATTGACGCTTCAAATTAAGGGTCAGAGGTTTCCCTTCTCCTCGTAACCCTTACTGCCTACTACATTCTATTCAACTCGTATCACACATCTCATTCATCATTAAGGTTTCCGTTGTAAACCTTTAGTTTAAGTAGCCCTTGAGGTTTTGGAATAGGTGATATTTAGTAAAACAAAAGGTATATGGGAAAATATAAATATACACGTATCTGCATAAACGAGTTGAAAATCCATCATTTTCTCTGTCAAATTGGTCAGGATTTCTGGAGTCATAGATAGATAGATAGATAGATAGATAGATAGATAGATAGATAGATAGATAGATACGAACAGACTGATAGCTAAGTAACTCTCTAGATAGACATAAAAAGAATAAGATATATATGAACAAATTAAGCTACACAAATAGATAATGAACGGACTTGAAAGGTAGATGCGAAAGGATTGAGATAGATAGATAGATAGATAGATAGATAGATAGATAGATAGATAGATAGATAATGAACAGACTTAGATAGATAGATAGATAGATAGATAGATAGATAGATAGATAGATAGATAGATAATGATTGGACTGAAATAGAAAGGTAGCCATAAAGAAGTTGTGACAGATTTATATATATATATATATATATATATATATATATATATATATATATATATATATATATATATATATATATATATATATATGGGGGGGGGTATGTGTTGGTTCTTAACGAGTATATATATAGCCGCGTTAATATACGCATGTTTTCACTCTAGAAGCGGTTTCCCTTACGAAAAAGTAGATATCAGGTTCGATTTCTGTTGGGGGAAGAATGTTTCTTCAACAAGACTTCTCAACCTGCTATTAATTACACTGTTTTAAAAAAAATAAGCATAGTAACTCAAATATGTGTAGACACTAAAATAACGTTTATAGTAATAACAAATATAGTCGGATAAAAATTCCATATATATATATATGTGTATGTGTGTGTGTGTGTGTGTGCGTGTGTGTGTGTGTGTGTGTATAAATGAACAGACTGTGACAAATAAAAAAGCGATAGATAGATAGATAGATAGATAGATAGATGAGCACAGATTGAGATAGATTGATAAATATGAACAGACTGAGATAGACATGCACAGAATGAGATAGATATGAACAGACATAGATAGATAGATAGATAGATAGATAGATAGAAAGCGACTGAATTGAAATAGATAGATAGATAGATAGATAGATGTGTGCTTTTGAACAAGTTTTTTGTGTGTGTGTGTGTGTGTGTGTGTGTGTGTGTGTGTGTGTATGTGTGTTTTGCATTCATATGAATGTTTTCTTGCTTATTTACTTCACATCCGCCCACAGATTAATCTACCTACGTCGAACAGAGAATTCGATTAAACAATAAGAACGCTCTTTACGTTACACAATGACTGTGTCCGGTTTATCAATTTAACTATTTTTAAATTCATTTGTTTCATTCCCTTAATTACTTTAATGAATTTTGCAACCAACAAACAACTTTCAGGCAAATAATGATCGTTTTGTCTCTCGTTGGCGGAGGAACGATTAATATGTGAACATAAGTTCAATTCAGTTTTGTTTATTCAACTTTTTCTTCGATTTAAAACAAAAACCATTACAACAAACAAATGGCGCGAAACAAAGATGGTTGACAGGCTAATACTGTTTACCAAACTAGGCAAAAATGTGTTTCATATTTACAGGGTTATTTCGTGCACCAGAGAATATTTTATGAAAAACAGAAAAAGGATGTTAAAAACTACGTGAGAAAAATGAGAAATATTTTATAGAGTGTTTAATCGTCTCGGATCTTTCGTACAAAGAACATACGTGTTCTTTTAGATCCCGTGAGGAGAAGGCAAAGGTTGGTGTATAGCATCGTTCTTTTTTTAAATGTATTAATTAACGGATTTTGATGAATGGGGAACGTTTTATTTTCTCTGTAGTTTCTCAATAGAAGTCTTTGTTCTTGCAATTCACAGTCTTTATATTAATGACGTTTCTGCGTTATTAAGACGCTTACGTGTTTATTTAACTCTTTCTGCTCAGCATGAATCTCCACGTGACGCTGTTGGCTTAAGACGAACGTAATGACAAAAATGATCTCTTTGTCATGAAACAAAACAACTATTGCAAGTAATTCCTATCCCCCATCTATCTATCTATCTATCTATCTATCTATCTATCTATCTATCTATCTATCTATCTATCTAATTGGTATAAAACTTTCTCGTAAGTTGGTCAAAAAGTTCGTTCGCTTATTAAATAGGAAATTTACTTAATAAAGCAAACGAAATTTTTGGCCAATCAAATACCTAGTGTCAATCTATCTATACAGGCACACACGCACACACACACACACACACACACACACATATATATATATATATATATATATATATAATATTAAGTTATGAAGAACTTGGTAATCCGTATGGATAACCCCAAGGAGTATGAAATCCTGAGAGCTCAAATAATGGTACCTTAAAGTGGTCTGTTTTTCTTTAAAATATATATATATATATATATATATAGTATTATTTTTAAAAAATAATAATTATAATATTATGCTCTAGTGTGTATCGATCACTGTTTTTAAAAATAAATGCTAAAGAACTCTGGATTATAAATCTGACTGTTCTTTCTTCATACACACACAAACAAACACACACACACACATATATATATGTGTGTGTGTGTGTGTGTGTGTATGTATAAAAATCAGTGTGCGATTGGTAAATTGTCGCCATTTTGTACTTTTAATTTTGTGTATGCGCATTATAGTAGGATCAGTGGTTCTCCGTCTGCGAAAAACAGCAAAATGACACAATTCACTCCGCCAGAAAGTTTGAAACGACTTCAATACAAATATTTCTGAGTGTTTGGCTGTTAATTTGAGGACAGTGCAGTGGATTTGGAAAGAGTTCACTGAGTCTAATGCTTATTACGAAGGTATTTGGAGGTATCACTAGTGATGGCGACGTTATGACTCCATTCATTTAACCCCAAGGTCTTAGACTCAACACAGAGTCCGACATCAAGTCCCTTGAGGAGGTAGCGCTACACTGGGTCAAGTGGGTGGCAGTTAGAAATTCTTCTGTCTAGCAACAGGATTCTACATCATGCCACACAAGCAGGAGAACCCAGTCATGGCTGTCAGACAATTTCTACGAGCACATCACCACTTACATCTAGCTACCTAACTACCCAAACTACAAGTCCATTGATTATTATGTGTGGAGAGCTGTTGAGGGTGAGACCAACGAAACTCCTTGTAAAGATGAACTGAAGGTAAGGATTAAGGCGGCATTGACCAACTTTTTAAAGAAGGCAGCCCAGAAGAGTCGCATGAGTCTCCGAAGTCGTCTGGAGGCCCTGGTTGAAGTCAATGGCGATTTTATTAAATAAATTTAATCTTTAACTTTTGAAGATATTTTTGTGCAATTTTGGTAAATATATTTGCTAAAATAAGATGTCAGTTTTATTTTTATTTTCATTTTTGCACAATTTAGACTAAAATTTATCCTCGCACCATTTAATACATACATATATATATATATATATATATATATATATATATATGTGTGTGTGTGTGTGTGTGTGTGTGTGTGTGTGTGTGTGTGTGTGTGTGTGTCATCATCGTCATCATCATCCCCTTGACATTTGTAATCGCAGGGCGGCTCCGAAGGCAGAATGCACAACGTTCTATCAGCGGCAGCCATCAAAAATTCTGGTACTGTCGTACCTGTCCAATGTTTGACACACACACACACAGACATATTTTATATTATATATATTTTATATTATAAATATATATATATATATATAGTTGTAGAGTGGATAAATGAAATGTAGGTACGCGTATATGTACTTATTATATATATATATATATATATATATATATATATATATATATATATATATATATATGAGATTTAAAACCAAAACAGTCAATAGAATTATACTCCATTTGTTCTTATCTGGATATATACAGGGTGTTGCAGCAAAATCCTACACTTAGCAAAAAGAAAACGAAATAGGCAATAAAAACAAAAGTTGTAGATGCAGATACCCGATAGTTTATTTAGCAGCAGTTAGAGTTACATACTAAATTATTTTTCAATGTAACCGCTGCCGCCGCCGCCGCCGGCAAAGACCATCTCAAGGCGGGCGCGAAATGAGTCACACGCTTTGGTGACCATGTCCTTGTCCATTGCGGCGAAAATAAATAAAAATATAAATACATCAAAATATATATAATATATATATATATATATATATATATATATATATATATATATATATATATATATATATACACGTAGATAGATTATTCCTTTTCTATAATTATTTTCATGGTAAATGTGCGGATAAACTTCCACTATGGTACCTAGACTTTATGAATTTAAGTACAGTATGAGATCGGCGGTCATGTGCCATCATTTTTCATTTGAAATGTCTAGATATATAGATATATAGATATAACTGTAATTTTTTTTTTTTTTTTTTTTGCTAACAGTTTCTTCTGTCACGTTTTTCGCTTATAGATTTCTCTTCTGGACTCTTGCTTCCAAATTCAAGTTTAATTTTCAAATATGTAAATGCAATGACAGCTTTTATCTTCTGTTTTTTTTTTTTATTTTATTGCTCTCTCTTCATAATAATGATTTCTTTTTCTCATATTCACTTATATTCAGAAAAAAGTTTTCTTGAAAATCTTATTTAAGATAAATATTTTATAAATTTCAATCGACAGCAGCGTTTGCTCCTGGGTCAATAGATGCCGAAAATTTCCTTATAATGAAATGGCTAATATTACCATTAACATGGATTTTCTGTTGATATGGATTCATTTGCTTCCACTTAATTCATAAAAATGCTATTCAACTAATTAATATACACATGAAAAAAAAAGGTCTCATCTTTTTACAGTTGAAATTGATAGATGTAACCGAAAGTTCTATGCTAAAAGTTTCTTCTATCGCACTTCTCGCTTGTGGGATTCTCTTCCGGCATCTTGTTTTCCAGTCAACTTCGATCTTCAAAAGTTTAAATGCAATGTTAATCGTTATCTTATGTCTTCTTAATTCTTGTTCTCTTATTGTCCTCTCTACTGAATAGTAGTTTTTTTCTCATATTCTCTAACACTCAGTAAACCCCTTGTGTCCTAGTGGCTTTATTGCCTTCATTGGGTGAAATGTTTAGAAAAAATGAAACAAAGAACATTAGTGATTTTTCTAGATGAAGGCCCATTGTAATGTAAACGTATGAAAAGATGAAGGTAATGAAATCGGAAGTTTATCCATATACCGATTATCTTCAAGGCTTTCAGACTGTTTCGTTTTTTTCAACAGTTCTTGATTTGTCGAAACATTAGTCGAAGAATTCATGACATCAAAACGGAAACCGTCCTTTTATGATGGAATAAACAGGTAAAAAGTCAGAAAGCTAGGGAAAATAATTTAACGACTGAATAATTATGCTATGAATTTCTGTAAATCAATGGATGTCGAAAGTTTCCTTATATTGAAATGGCTAATATTACCGTTAACATGGATTTGCTGTTGGTATGGATTCATTTGCTTTCAGTCAATTCACGAAAATGCTATTAAAATAATTAATGTACACATGACATAAAATTTGGTGGTGACTTTCAGTTCATTATAGACACAGTTGCCTGTGTGCGCGCGCACACACACACGCACACATATATATATATATATATATATATATATATATATATATATATAAGAGAGAGAAAGAGAGAGAGTGCGAGTAAATGAAAGAGATAGTGTGTGTGTGAGGAAGAAAGAGAGAGATAGAGAAAAACTCACCATAATTCAGTAAATATCCCGTCTCCAAATTTGACCACAAGAGCAAATATCAGAATAAAGAGAATATATATAAAGATATCAAAATAAAAGGAATCTATATAAAATTCAGTTCAACAGAAAACAAAATATCTATCACATATCTGTATATTTATGGGTTTTAAATCACATTATTTATTGGTATTGAGAGGCGCCTCGCTAGTGATAGAGGATCATTTTTTTCAAATGCCTTTACGTGCGCATGCGTATAGAAAAATAGAAAAACCGGAAATACATTGAACAGGGAAGAGTTTTAATTCCGGTGCACGTCCACATCGGCGTCTTTTTTTTCTTAAAAACATATCATTTGGTCTTTGAATGAATGATGAGTCTCAGTTCGGAATATATGAATGGAAACACACGTTTCCTTATTGTTAATATTTACACAGTAAACGTGTTTGCCAATAGAAATAACCAGTAAAATTCCAGCAGATAATAAAGCAACGTAAAATGAATGGTAAAACAAGATAGATAGATAGATAGATAGATAGATAGATAGATAGATACGACGCAAGTTCGAGTAATGCCATCACTTGATCCATCCTCGTAATGAGCAACATAGATGCTAAAACGAAAAAAAAAAGCGATACCTGAGCGTGAAGTATTTTTTAAAATGTGGAATGACTGCACAAAACGAATCCTACTCTGTGAAAGCCGAATTCATTTTGCCTCAAAATAAGGAACTATTCTACATCGGTAGATACGAAGAAAAACCTTTTGCGTTTTCCTCTCTAAGATGTCTTAACGAAAAGTAAGTGAATTAAAGGACGTCTGCATACCAACATAGATAGATAGATAGATAGATAGATAGATAGATAGATAGATAGATAGATATGAACAGACTGAGATAGATAGATAGATAGATAGATAGATAGATAGATAGATATGAACAGACTGAGATAGATAGATAAATATGAACATAGATAGATAGATAGATAGATAGATAGATAGATAGATAGATAGATAGATATGAACAGACTGAGATAGATAGATAGATAGATAGATAGAT